GCCTTGATTTTAAAAGTCCACTTTTTCCCTGTCAGTGAGTGTCTGTGTTACAATTTAGCTTCCAGCAATCATCCACTGGCAAGCTAGCTACTGTTACTAGGCCTCTCCCTCCAGCTAGGCCTCCCACCAATGACAGAATTTTTCTTTCTGCCTCAGGGAACAAAATTTTAAACACACAGCTTCCCCCTGTCCCAGGCTTAGTTGTTTTGAGTCCCCTCAGCCTCACTGCCCTTGGCTCTGCTTTGTCCCCTCAGAGTTCTCCCTTAAACTCAGGACAAGCTAGCCAAACTGCCACAGATTTCAGCTTTGGGCCACTCTTTCCACAGAAATTGTCACCACAGAGCTTCCCTGTCTTAGATCCCAATCTGAGGTCCCGCGCCCTTCTACTAGACTCGTTCCCCGTGAGACAAGTCCTAGAAGGTTACCCACGTGTTCACTCAGACCTCCCTAACTAAAGACCCCTGCTCTGGGCACCTTTCCAGTCAAGGCTTCACTGGATCTTCGAATCCCGCCACTGGACACCAATTTTATTGTGACGTAGCAGGCCACTCTGATGTCACTGCCAACTCAGGCCTCTCAGAATGCCCACCACACTACCTCACACTCGCTGCCACCAATTGTAATGACTATTTAAGAAGGACAAAGGTTTCCTTCAAAACAAAACAGGTTTATTGAAATAACAAAATAAAATATGTAAATCACAATTAGTTAATCAAGATGTCAATCACTGTATCTTATTTAATCAATCACAGACTTCCCTCACTGACCACTTAGGCACGCAGGCCTCTAAACAAGCTCTTTCTCTCTCACACTCCAGATCTGAACTCTCTCACTCTCTTCACACCCCTTTTTCTTCCAGCTCCTCCCTCCTCAGCCCCACCCTCCATCACCCCATTGGCTGATGATTCACTGCCCAGCTGTGACGGACAGGTGAGGTCAGGGCTGCCTGTTACAAGCATGTTCTAATAATTAGATGTGCATTGCCTGTCTTACACTGATTGCGAATCCTACTATCAGTAGTTCGACTCAGGCAGGTAATTTCCTATTTAAAAACCATGAGTCTAGGGTAGGTTTAATTGAATTGTAGATCAGATTTCTGGTTGCTCGTGTGTCTTTATGAACCAAGAAAAGCTGTACATTCTTTTTATAAACAGTTTTAAGTTCATAAGTCTTTTTCTGAAGCTGTCATATCCCATGGCAATTCATGGTCAACATGAGACACCCATCCACGCCATAGGAGATCTGTGGTCATGTGACATTTGCCTGCCAAACAGAGTAGAGTAAAATGATAAATATTTCTTCATCTGGTTCTGTTATTGGATACTGACATAGAGTAAAATGATAAATATTTCTTCATCTTTTCTTCATCTTTAAATATTTCTTATTGGATACTGACATTTTTACCACATGACCACATGACATTTTTACCACATGATCAGCTAGTAAGGATAGTGGCTGGTTTGATCAATGTGCACAATTTTTGGAATATCCATTTATTCATGTTGTGTACACTTTTCAGCTGAGAATATATTAAGATTCATATTCACAGGAGTAAGACATCTCTAAATGAGATTTGTGCAGTAGTATATAATTCTATCACTTTCCCTTCAACATGATGTATCAAAGCTGTAGTCCCTTCCAGGCAGTGTCAGAAGGTGATAGAAATGTGTCCCATATTGCTCCATAGCTTTTTTGAATTTGCCACTGCATTGGATGATCATATGTCTTGAGGAACCAAGTTGGCCTGTCTCCTAGCTCCACTGTTGCTTTAAGTTTCAGTATTGCTCCATTAGCAGAGAGAATGCTTGTGTCTTCAGGTTCACATATAAGGACACTTTTGACATGAAAGTCATTACTTACTCATTTTTCTTGCTATTATGTCAAGCCTCAGCTGGGTTCCAGTGATGGAGTCACATTTATAGAGTCTTCATGAGGAGACAGTGTAGATTCTTTGCCAGAAATGAGGGATGTCACAGAAAGTGTTAAATGTCCATGTTTCTGTAATTGGCTGGGGCTTGCAGATCCTTGTGAGACATTTCTCCTAGTGAATGTGCCCATGTTGATCATAGAATAGTCTAATGACTAGACTATGAATTCAGTATGAAAAAGCTCTTCTTCACTTTTTTATTCAAATTAATGTTATTGACAGATTATATGTTACAGACTATGAACCTTAACCCTAAATATACTAGAAAGATCTTCCACACAAAAAATGCAGTATGAGAGCCACAATACATTCTTGAAAATCATAGCCGTTGAATTCATTATCTACTTCTTTCTTTCCAGCTGTGACACATACATCTCAGTTGCACCCATATGCAGTATTTAGGCTTAGGGGGTAAATCTTGCACTGGATTGAGTAAAAAGCTTTTTTCCATCTTAATGGGGGGTAGAGACTGAGGGGGTCACAGTTGGTGAGAGGAAAGTTAATCTTTTCCCTTCCAACAGCAACACCCCTTTGCCATTCCCTACCTTGAGTCAGTAGTGGACCGGTACTGGTCCATGGTCTTGGAAGTACCGGGTCGCTGGGACAGATGAACAGCAAGTAGGAGGTGAGTGGTGAGCGAACCTGCACCTCCTGTTGGTGCACCCCTATTAGGTTCTAATGTTGCTGTTGATCTGACAGGTGGCAGAGCTTTGCTCCCCTCCTCCTGCTGCTAGATCAGCTGTGCGTGTGGTAGAATCTAATAGGAGCCTGCGCTCCTGATAGGTTCTAAGTTGCTGCTGATCTAACAGGAGGCTGAGCTTCAATGCAGCTCACCTCCTGCTCGCCATTTCCTTTATGAGCTTGATTCAAAGCTATACTCCAACAATCTACTGCATAACAAGTATCCCCCTCCCCCGGTCCTTAGGAGAAAAGTCTTCAACTAAACCTGTCCCTAGTGTCAAAAAGGCTGGGGACCACTGGTCTAAACTTCAACTTGAAATACAACAAATTCTGAACAGTGATTTGATGCGTGAATTAAGGGTGGGTGGGTAGGATTTTGGGAACCCAAGACATTAGTACTGCCTTGGTACTGAATAGGAAATTAATTAATTTTGTAAGACCTTTCTTAACTTAGAATGCAAGATCATCATCCAGAAGGAGATAAACTAATAATAGCTGGTTTGATAAAGAATATGAAATTTTGAATCGTAGAAAAGTGAAGTTGGAAGGAGCCCACAAGGCCATCAAGTCCAACCCCTTGCTTAATGCAGGAATACAATCAAAGCATATCTGCCAGGTGATTATCTAAGTTTTTCTTGAATGCCTCCGGTGTTGGAGCTCTCACCAACTCCCGAGGTAACTGGTTTCACTGTCGTACTGCTCTAACAGTTAGGAGGTTTTTCCTGATATTCAACCGAAATTTGACTTAGTTTAACTTGAGCCCATTGTGGCATGTCCTGCACTCTGGGATGATTGAGAACAGATCTTGCCCCTTCTCTGTATGGCAGCCTCTCAAATATTTGAAAAGTGTTGTCATATCATCCCTTAGTCTTCTTTTCTCAAGGCTGAGGAGCTCTTAGGCTGCATAAGCAAAATGAGTCTAAGAGCCTACCAAGATCTTTTTCAAAAACTTTTAAATAATTATAAATAGCTTCTCAAAAAGAAAAAAAACTGGCTTCAATAAAAGAATCATACTAAGAACTCGCTTTAGCTTTGGCCCAGAAAGACATGGTGAGGTATTGGCAACTGCTGGCAACAGCAGAAGGGAGGGTCCACCACAATCTCAATCCCCATATATCTATTGGATGATGGATTATTTTAAACTGTTTAGTGATACAACTCCCATGAGAGAGAAGGCCCCATCGCCAAGTTACCACCTATCCATTTACCAAGGTGGCCACCAGTTACAGCTATTTTCAGCAACCAAAAGCAAGAAAGTTCCAGGGGAAAACTTCATTCGCCTTGATATATGCCAGTTTTTCCAGGACTAGTGGGTTCCTGTCCTAGTTGCCTAATTCACTTACATAGATATGTTTGGAAGAATCCCTAGGGCATGGTCATCCTCAGTTGTTGTTTCCGTCTGTAATAAAGGGGAACAAAACATACCCATCAGTTTACTTAATGTTGTAAGTAAACTCTATACAAGGCATTTCCTCCAAAAATTGGGAGGATGGGTAACTGAAAAAAATGTATTAGCCCTTGAAAAAAATTGGCTTTAGGGTCGAACATCCTACTTTGGATCATTTACTTCTGTTACAACATCTAATTAACAAATGTATTGAAGCATTATTGGGGAGACTATATGTAGCTTTTATCTATGTTAAAGTGGCATTTAACTATATTCCAAGAAATTGCCTTTGGAAAATGCAGATAAACCTTAATTAGACCTCAGGCTGCTGGAGAAAATTACAAATCTGCACATTTAAACTTTCTTAGACATCCGAGTTGACATTCCAGACCAGCTGTCTAATATAGTTAAAATATCCAAATTGGTACGCCAAGGTTGTACCTTGGCCCCATTTCTTTTTAATTTATGTAAACATTATATGGTGGACCGTTAAACATGACTACAAATCTTCCCAATAAGAGTAGGTGGAAAGGCCATTTCAATATATTGCTAATATCCCACATAAAAATAGGTCTCAGAATATTGCTGAAACAATTCAGCATTTACTGTATGACTAATATATTCAGAATAAATTAAGAGAAAACCAAAATTATGCTCTTCAACAGAAGATCTCATCCTCATAGATGAAAGGATTTTAGAAAAGGTAGTCTCTCTCAAGTACTGAGGAGTGATGTTCCACCAGTCAGGCTCTTGGACAGTTCAGACTGAGTTTTCTAAGCAGAAATTTGAAAAGGCCATATTTGGCATGAATAGATTCTACAGAACTAGAGTGGGGTGTTTGGTTCCTTCCACTGTGAAATTTTCAAAACAAAATTTCTACCCCAGATACTGTATGGAGCTGAAATTTGGGGACTTGGGAATTTACATCCATTAGAAGTCATCCAAAATATGTTTGCTTGACTACTACTAACAGTTTCCCCCTCAACCCCTGGATAAGCCCTTAGACTGCCTGGAAGCAGAGCACTGGTGCTCAGAAGATAGTATGTAAAGGAAATCTTGCTCCTGTCAGCATAGAAATCTCTGATGCTACTGCTCTTGACAATAATCTTTTAGTGTGTTTATTGTAATTGATGTTTTCCTAAGTTAATGTTATTTGGTACACTAAGGAAGAAGAAGAGGGTTGGAAAATGGCCCCCAGTAATTTTCTCTCAGTAATGGAAGATGGAAACAACAAGTATAAAGGCAAGTAAAGAGGTTATTACTAAAATAGAATGTTGTTTACATGTGGAATATTCAGGTATCTTGTGAACCTGAAATATTCTTCATTGGAACACACTGTATCCTGTGGATACTTCAGTTTGTATTGCCACACACATTACCATCTCAAACTCATGCTTCTAAGGAGAAAATATAAGCTAACCTTTCAAAAATTGACAGAAACAAAGAGGAAGAAATATCTGCTCCCCACCCTAGGCCTTGTTTATTATAATACATAAAGAAGCACTAGGAATATAAAATAAATAAATAAATAAATAAATAAAATAAAATTGAATAAATAAATAAAGAATATAAAAAGTAAAAATTGTAAACTAATATGTTTTCATTACCAGAGGGCATCCTGCAGATTTCTGTTTAAAATATGTGACTGGGGATCTCAGAGCTATTTAGCAGGGCATCATGTGATGGATTTCTTCATCAAAAAGATCCATTTATTAGGTAAGCTCGATAGCAAAAGTGGGAATGGATTTCGTGAAATCTAATTGGAAGCAATTAGGGACGTGGTGGTGCTGCGGGTTAAACCGCAGAAGCCTGTGCTGCAGGGTCAGAAGACCAAGCAGTCGTAAGATCAAATCCACGCGACGGAGTGAGCTCCCGTCGCTTGTCCCAGCTCCCACCAACCTAGCGGTTCGAAAGCATGCAAATGCAAGTAGATAAATAGGGACCACTTCGGTGGGAAGGTAACAACGTTCCGTGTCTAAGTCGCACTGGCCATGTGACCATGGAAGATTGTCTTCGGACAAAACGCTGGCTCTATGGCTTGGAAACGGGGATGAGCACCGCCCCCTAGAGTCGGACACGACTGGACAAAAATTGTCGAGGGGAACCTTTACCTTAATTGGAAGCATATGTATCTCTAAAATCTGTGTAGATTTCCTTATGTCTTACAAGGTAAAATTTAGAGACCATCAGTTCACACAGGTAAGCTACAGAAAACATTTCAAACCAGATGAAAACTACATATTGCATATCTGGAAGCTGAGTCATGGCAACTAGATATCCTTCCTGTTAGGTTGTAATATTTAGCTACTCATCCAGTAGTTTCTTCAGTCTGAGGAGAGTTGGTAGGAGATCTGTGATATATCCTCCACATTGGTTTCACCTCCCCCTGGTCTGAATAGGCTTGTTAGAAGGATAAAGGACTGGGGTCCTTCTCCACCTATAATCCCACTGCAGAAAGATAAGGGAGCAGTGTTGGATAAGAGTGGAAGCCAGAGTCAGAGCAGATCTGAGGTGATAGGAAAATAAAAGCAGAGGCTTGAAAATAAAATTATGTTGGTGTCTGAGAGCCATGTGGTTAAATGTCACAGACACTTTTACTTAATCCACATGAATTGTTGAAGAAAGTGACAGAAACTGAAACGTATTTTATATGTAGAAAGCTCACCGACTGCTGTGTAACATGTGCAATGCTGTGCAGCTAGGATATGTAGCTGAAAACATTCTAGATGTAGTAGCAGATGGAGCAGTTGGGAGAACTCTCCTGTGCTACATTTCTTCCCAATATTCTCAGTGCATTTGGATCAAGGACAGTGGTGGGAAGCTTTATTTCATTCATTGCTTACTACTTTAAAATATAAAATATTTTTCAAGGAATACAGTTTTCCTTTGTAGGGACACAGGCAACAAGTAGCATAGTTTTTCCGTTATACGCCTAGCAACTACTCTGCAATGAGAATTGTTATGATTTCTATAGTATAAATCTTGGAATGTTACATAATAAAAGAATTGCTGAAATCCTGTTGCATCACTTACACCTGCAGAAGAGTGATGATGTCATGAGCAAGAGGCAAGTTTCAATAATCACAGAACTCCTACCGAAAATCACTGCTACTGAATGACAGTGCCAGCAAGGGGAAAATTTCCATTAATTAAAGACTTCTTCATCCTGTTCTTCTACTTCCAAGGTTTTAGTGTAATGATATGGATTACATGGGAGTTGGAAAAGCCATGGAACAAGAGTTTTTGATTACAGAAATATTGCCCCCAGCTGATGATCTCATCATCCTTTTGCAGGCATATTTAAGCTAACAGGATTTCAGCCAATAATGTATAATTAATTGAGAAGGAGTGGGACAAAACAGTGTAAAAATATAGTGACCAATGCAGGAAAAATCTAGCTGTAAAATGCCTCAAAGTTTCTTGAAGATTCAAATAGGCCTTGTGCAATCTGCTAGCTCTGCTTTAATCTATAAGACATGTAAATCATTCTTGTCTTTGCTCATGAATGCATTTAAAAGATTATCCAGTTTCAGCAGTTCTCTTGCTTACTTGCAAGCAAGCAAATAAAGGCAATCCAAGTCCCCACCAATTTACTAGAATATGGAAAAAATATTCTTCCCCAATCACCACCTCTTATTGCCTTCTTGTCTCTTCCTTGATTTCAAGCAGGCTGCTGTGGGCAAGCAAGGCAGCAACAATAATAATCCAAGAAAGAAAAGCACCAAAAACAGAAAATGAAAAGAAACCCCCCAAAGTCGCATTACTATTCCCAAAGATCTCACGGGGGAGGGGAATCCAAGAAATAATCCAAAGGAGTAATGCTAGCAAAAGCAGACTGCCGGGCAGCAGCAAAAATACTCCAGGGGGTGGGGAACCAATGAAATTCCACCAGATATTATCAATCTAAACATAACTCTACAATGACTTTCTTTTTTTAAAAGAAACCACACAATTATTTTCCCTTTATTTTCTCTTCATGGGTGATAGATATTTGGCAGAACAGAGATGAGGGATGGAACTTCCCACAAGAGTATGACCCAGAATTGATCAAAGAAGAAAAGCGGAAAGAAGTGGAAGAAGAGATCAGAATACAGGTGAACTTCACTAGCTGGCCACTTACAAAAATAAGTGCCAAAGAGGATTCCAGTGGGAAAATAAATTCTGATTGGACATATTTCTAGATTTGTATCACTCTTCCTTTACATACTGACATTGTGTTATGGAATACATGAAAGAGTGTTTGCATGGAGAAATGTAATGAAAAACTTAAAGCAGGCGTCCCCAACCCCCCGGTCCGGTGCTGGTCCGTGGCCATGGCAGGACCGGGCCGCGGAGACAGATCTCCCACCTGCCCCCTGCATGCACTCCCCCCACCCACATGCATGGCCCATCACCCACATGCACGGGTGCCCCTCCCACCTGTGAGTGCGCCCCTCCACAAGCGCATTCCACTCCTTCACGCAAGTTTGCTCCACCACTCTGCAAGTGCGCCCTACCCACCTGTGAGATGCCCTGCCCCCTCCAACTGGTCCACGACTCAGAAAAGGTTGGCGGCCACTGACTTAAAGTGAGATTGTGACATGTGAACAAGTAAAATTTTATTATTGCTAGAGACTAGCAGAGCTGTCAAATTATGAATACATGTTTGTCTTCCTCTTCTCTCTCTCTCTCACACACACACACACTTTCTCCCCCTATGTCTCCAGATCCCATGTTACTTAATAAAAGTAGAAGGCAGGCATCATTACTGGCTTCTTTGAGGCTCTGAGGTAGTCTATTGTAGTAAAATAATGAGTAATATAGCACTTCATGTACATCCTCTAAGGTATAATCTACCCATGCAGTAAAATGAGGTTAAAAAAACGAGAGAGATAGTAAGTGTCCATGGGCAGTAGAATGAACTGTGCCATTTAAAGCATTTAAGTTTGTCCTTCACTCATTATCTTGATGTTGTGGTATTTTGTCTTTATGTTGCTGGTAAAGCAGAAGAGGAATGCTTTATTTTAATGCTTCAGTCTGGCTTTTCGATGCATTGTTGCTGAAAAATCAAACAGGAATGTGTCATTAAAGAAATGTTTTGTTGTTGTTGTTGTTGTACAGGACTAACCCTTGCTTTCTCCTTATAATTTTCAGCATGGGTCTGGGTGTTATCCTTATTATGATGTTTGGCTGGCTCCTCCTGTCATTAGCTTTATCTGTCGTGACCCATATATCCATTCAGCTGAAGTGAACTACTTTGCCCCTGTCCCCAAGGTCCAGTAGACACCAACCCCCTCTAAGTTTACACACACACACACACACACACACACACACACACAGAGAGAGAGAGAGAGAGAGAGAGAGAGAGAGAGAGAGAGAGAGAGAGAAGCCTAGAATCTCTAGACTGCAGCAGCAGTGCTTGTGATTACAATCTGAATCACTTTCAGACTGGCTATGGACCTGAGATCAGCTGAAGCCCAATACAAAAGGAATCCAACAGTATAATTCTGTGGGAGATGCAATATTTTTAGAGCTGATTGGCAGAAATTCAGCACAACACTGGAGGGAATTATGCCATAATTCTGAGGTTTATGATCAGTTCGTCAGGACAGTGAAAAGGCCATCCCAACTGTTCGTACTTCGAGGAAGCAGAGTCAAATACTTCCAGGGCCTAACATCAGAAATATTTACCCAAATAAATAATTATTTTTTCACAGTTTGAACAAAATCTTTTGATCAAAGAAACCATTTGGCTGATCAGCGATTAATTTTTTCACTCTCAAAAACTAAAACAGATAATTCGATAAAACATGGCAAGAAACAGTCAGAAGGCCTAGACTTTATTGAAGTGAGTAAAGAACACCCCAACAAAAGACCCAACTCATGCAAATATTTCAGCAAACCAGATAGCTCACCATCTTCTCATTAGTGACAGATCTGAACATTTCCATCAGAAATCAGAACATAAACTTGAAAGATACAAGCAACTGGAGACCAATGACCTTACAAGCCCATTCAACTTAAAGTAAATCAAAAAAGCTATTTGTAGCTGCAGCAGTGAGAAGGCAGGAGGCCTGGATAACATCCACAGAGAGCAGATAAAACATTTTGGTATAGTAGCAAAAGAAAAAAAAGGCTTCTTAATTCCTTTAAGAACTGTCTTGACTCTCTCAGGATTCTGCGAATTTGGAGAAAATCACAAATTATTCCTATCGTGTAATCTGGTAGGGAAACCACAGATCCCGAAAATGTCAGGCTGATCATGCTACTTTATCACCTTATAAGTCCTGGAAAGAATTATTCTTAACTGTCCAAAGGGGGTTTTGGAACCACTCTTCATCCCACAACAGGATGGCTTAAGACTTGGAAGAATTGTACAGTATACATTTAACACAATGTATTGAGGATGAATTTAAAACTAGAAAGATGACAGGCTTAGCTTATTTTGGCCATTCTGCTACCTATGACAACATTCATCATCAAGTATTACTGAAAATATTCCATAATCTACCCAAGGATTAAAAATTCTCTAATGTAATAGCAAGTCTTTTGCAATAGAAAAATTGTAATTAATTTTCAAGGATAACACATCCAAGAGAAGACTTAAAAGAATGGTCTACTCCACAGCAGCATATAGGTGCCCATTTTGTTTGAAATCTCTGCTAATCTCCAAGCACTTCTTCAAGGCACCAAAAGTTTTCTTTCTGCTGATGACCTCACACTTGCTGTTCAGCTGGACAGTTTTGCGATGGTAGAACTGTTGAGAATTTTGATTATAACGTGTATTCTCATAACATCAGCAGAGTAAGGAGATATTGGATAGCAGAGATACTCATGACACTATGACACTGAGAGAGTAAAATTAATTTAGTCTATTTACATATATACATAGAATACTCATGACACTATGACACTGAGAGAGTAAAATTAACTTAGTCTAATTAAATATATATATAGAAGATAGACATTCCCACATAGCATAGGAAAAAGTGATCTGACTTACAGCAGATACAGTGTCCCATTTTCACATGACTTATGTACACTTCTGGGAACAATAAAATAATACATTACATCATCTTCAGTTACATAAGGTTTCATCATCTACCACAGCTGTACAGCATTTAGTCTGAAACCTTGATCCACACCTGAACATAATCTTACACATGACTCAGGTAAAATCAGCCATTTTATCTTTAACTATGCAACATTAATATTCAATAGATTTTCATATCAAAATATCAACCAAAACATATTCTAAAATAAGCATTAGAAGAATTTGGTGCATCTTATGATAGTAATCAACCCAGTCCTACTAAGACTCGAATATGTACCTTCCACCTGCAAGCATCTTTAAAAGTTCAGGTAGCTTGAAGGCCATTCAACTAGATAATTGTTTTGTCCCCCAAACTTAGCTGTTACTTTGGATTATACACTTACCTGTAGAAAGCACTGCCAAAAGACAGTGAAGCAACAATATTCTTCTAAAGTTATCAATTGCCAGTTGAGGCTGCAATCACAAAGAACTACCGCCTTGGCCTGTGCTACTCTGCAGATGATATACCAGGCCAGTGTGATATAGTTCAGTTCAATCAAAACAGATAGATGCATTAATCAATGAAAGCAGTAGAATCATTTCTGGATGCCTGAAGCCAACTCCATTGATAAAATCAATTATCTCACAGGTATCCCCTCTCCCTGCAACATATGGAAAGAGGTAGCAGCTAATACTGAAAGACCAAAAGCACCTACCTCAAATATGCATCCACTCTTCAGCTATTATCGTGACTTTCCTAGATTAAAATCAAGAAATGTTTTTTTCAGAACTTCTGTGAATCTTGAAAAAGCAGCAGAGAGTGCCAGGTGAAAAGAACAAACTACCTACCTACCTCTTAAAATGGATGAACCTCCAGGAAAGTCTAGTTCCAGTCACACAGAGAATTAGGTTATTTGAAAGTTACTCAATAGGCTACAGAATGGAGTTGGCAGAACCAAGGTGAGTCTAGGAAAATGGGGGTTTGTACAGCCACAGTTCTTCGAAAGTGCAAAGAACTGGTAACTTCACACTTATGCCCCTCAAAATGTATTATGGGTGATTTGATGTTAGCTACCGCAAATGTTATCGATCTTGATTTTATCTAACTCAAGGAAGGAAAGAAGAAAATAAAGACCTTGTAATATTTTACAGGTTTTGATCCTCTTTTCCCTGGACATCAGAGAGAGAGAGAGAGAGAGAGAGAGAGAGAGAGAGAACTGGATAATTGCACATGTGCTTATGTTTTTAATTGCAGGAATTGTTTTTAAACATAGCATTTTTACTCATTGTATGTATCTGCCCAAACAGGTGGATGAATTAATGCGTCAGGAATTGAAGAATCTAAAATTAGCTGTAGACAGAGAGACAGAGAAAAAAGGAAAAAAAGGGAAAAGGGGAAAGGTAAGTAAAACTTTGTAACATCTTTTTAACTTTATAACAGTTAACTAATACAGTAACAGAACCAATATGAGTTTCATGGATAAAGGGATGGACTAGGTAGTGATGTAGTGGTGAGTTTTCAGCAACCCAGGGCAAGGCAAGTATTGTGTGCCCCACTTCCTGTGGGTGCCCCCTTCTTTCTCCCAACTGCCCCCTTGCTCTTGCAGAAGGGGGGGGAAGCTCAGCAAAGGCCACACATGGACAGGGAAATGGGGGAGCAACCTCAAGCCTGGCCACCCAGAATGAGTTCACAGGAGGAGGAGAAGCTCTGCACATGACCAGAGGCACAAGGAGTCAATGTGGGCCCCCGCAGTCATCCCATGCTCCAAAATGGCTTGTGCCTCCAGACCTTCTGACCAGAGCTCCCCCACAGCTCCAAAGGCAAGCCTGCTGCTCCTCCCTTTGCCCTGTTCTGTGGCACAAGGATCTCCCACCTTAATCTGCCTCAGGTGCAGAAGTTTAACCAGGGGTAGGGGCAGCAGGGGATCTGCCAGGGGCAGCTTCGCCAAACACAACTGGGGAACCGAAGGCCCCAGGAACTCAGGGGGAGGGGCTGCCACTGGGCAAAGGGGGGGGTAGCCTGACTCACCGTGGCTGCTGTTGCTGGACTCACCTTTTCCTCCTCCTCCTCCTCCTCCATGGTACTAGCAGCAACAGCAGCACCGCCCAGCACTCCAAGATGGTCTCTGCCTGGGCTCCTCCTTTGTCTCCTTGCTTCTGTGCCCTCCAAACAATGGATCAACCCTCTGCCCCCCCACCACCTTCAGCCCTCCTCCCTCTGCAGGGCTTGAGGCCAGCCCACCCCTCTCGAGGAGGGAGGAGGGAATGGCTGAATGTGGCAGGGGGAATGCTGATCCACGCCTTTTGCACAGAAGCAGAGTTACCATTTTCTGGCAGGAGGGCAGACAGATGGCCCCAACTCCTCTGCACCAAAGGCAGTGAAGCCTGACCAAGCAGCACCCACTACCCCTGCACTTCTTGATGAGGCTGCATGTTCTGCACCCTAAAACATTGGTGCCCGAGGCAAGTGCTCCACTGCCCCCCCATGCTACACCACTGGCATTAGGACTCAGGAATTCAGGAGTTCAAATCCCTGCTCTGTCATAACAACTCACTGTTGAGGCACTCATAAAAATGCTCCTCAAATGTGCCACATAAATTGAAAACCCTATTAGATTGCTGTGATTCAAATGTGACTTAAAAGCACATAACAAACTGCATATACTGTACATTCAGTTGTACTAATTGTGTATAGAGATGGGCACAAACTGCTGGTTTGGAGGCTTGTGCTAGTTGAGTCAGTGACTGAACAGGTGTTCCACAGTTCAGCACCCCACCCCCTGTGGCAGGCACCCACTCAGAAGCAACACCTGTAGGAGGTGGGACAGGGAAGTTGGGGCTGCAAGTGGAGGGAGCCAGCTGGGGGGAGCAAGGTGCCAAACCACAGAAGACCCATCCGGCTGTTGGCCAAACCAGCATGAGCCACCACACCGTTTATGCCATCTCTAAGTGTTTGTCACTGTTCCATTTGGCCTTGTGTAAAGAGAAGGGCTACATCTCAGTGGTAAAATATATAAAAGTTCACAGGTGTAATACCCTTCATCTCCAGGTAGGATTGGGAAGACTTCCTTTCAGTAGCCTAGACCACTTGTTGGTCCAGTCATTGCTGCGGCAGTTTCCTGTTTCTTGCTACTCATATGAACATGAACATAATGACTATAAAACATCTCCACTGGCTTTCATATAGCTAGATTACACAACAGAGAAGTCTTTCCGAGCTAGCTTGTTTAGTATCTTATATAATAGTAACACAGTGGTGCCTCAACTTAAGAACACCCCTACTTATGACCATTTTGAGTTATGACCAGCTCTGGCCGCAAAATTTTGCTTCTACTTGCAACCGGAGCATCCACTTACAAACAGAAAAAGGCAGGAGAAAAAGGTGGGAAATTCAAATTTCTAACTGTTGATGGTGACGAGGCTGCTTCTTTGTAGCTCTTTCACCCCAGCAGTTAGAGATTGTGTGGCGGCATTGGAGGCTTGGGACTGCCTCCTTCTGCTTCTGAGAGCATGTGTGTGTGTTTGCAGGGAGGCTTCGGGCTGCCTTGTAAGGTAAGGTGCTGTTTTCTGCTTTTTAAAAACTGTTCTGGGTGTTTTTCCAGTGTGGTTTTGAGCTGTGCTGTGATGGGTCTTGGGGGGTTTGTTTGTTTTTTGGGGTTTCCCCCCATTTCTGATGGGTCTTGGGGGATTCGTTTGCTTTTTGGATTTCCCCCCCAATTTCCGATGGGTCTTGGGGGATTTGTTTGCTTTTTGGATTTTCCCCCCCAATTTCCAATGGGTCTTGGGGGATTTGTTTGCTTTTTGGATTTTTTCCCCATTTCCGATGGGTCTTGGGGAGTTTGCTTTTTAATTCCCCCTCATTTCCGATCTTGCACAATCTGCTTGATTGCTTTTTGCTTTGTCTTGTTTGCATTTGCAATGGGTCTTGCATGGTTGATTGCTTTTCCTCCCCCCTCCCCCTTCAACTGGAAGGGATTAATCACATTTCCGACCAGTCTTGCAGTGATTTCTTTTGGTGATTTTTTTTCTTCGGCTGGAACAGATAAATTGCATTTCAATGCATTGCAATGGGAAAGGTTCCTTCGACTTACGACTGTCTTCTTGAACCAATTAAGTTTGTAAGTCGAGGCACCACTGTAGAACTTTCAAACTACATCCCATATAACTTCAGGAGGCTTTTGATGCAGGTGTTTAACACAATGGGGTCCTTCATTTGTGCATATGTGATTGCCTTAGACTGATGCAATCTATACAGTATACTGCTTGGAGCTTTCTGGACCTTGAATGTGGGATTTCTAAACTCTGCTGTCATGCAAGGGTGCAGTCTGCATTCTTCTGTGGGCCTGGCAAGTGCCCTAACATGGAGATACACATCCACTCCTGGTAGATGTACTGATTTTTCTCACTCTAACGGTTGCACAGTCTCACTCTGATCGGAAGGGAATTTGGGGCCCAAGGAAGAGGGTTTATTTTATCTGCTATCTAAATTTTGATTACCTTGTAAATAATCTGAGCTCTTTCCTTTCCTTTCCTTTCCTTTCTTCCGTCCTTCCATCCATCCATCCATTCATCCATGGGAAGTTTTTCGACTTATTTCCTTGCTTCACAGAGATTAGTTTTTTTTGATGTTGAATCTGAAATTCCAGTGAAGAATTCAAACCATCAGGATATACCATCCTGCAGCCATGAATTCTAAATCTTAATGCCTTTTCATTCTACATGAAGAAAGAAAATGAGCAAGAAGACTGTTTCTAATTAAATATAACAACTGCCGTTTTACAGCAGTTTTCATTATTTTTCATTAAATGTATTGTTTATATTCATAAGAAGGTTTAGATAATTTCTCACAAAAATAGACTTATATCAAGCAAAGTGCATGCAGCGTGTGTAGGGAAGTCATGAACAAGCATATATTCTCAGTCTTTATTCAATGCCTGGGGTTATTTAGTGTTTAGTTTTTGGTTTGGTTTTGTAAATCTTGGCATAAATTGGAAAGATCCTCACCACCATATGCATAAAACTGTATATACTTCCATATTGCTGGAGAAATTGCCTTAAGGAAGCAAACAGTTGGCTCATATGTTGAACATATGTTCACTGTGTATGGAACTAGGGACAATCTAATTTTCATTATGTGATTATTTTTAAAATGGAAAAAGATAACGGACCATTTCTAGAAGCTCTCAAGGAATACTTGGGGAAGAAAGGTGTAAAATAAAAAATAGAATTTGTATCTCCAGTTTCTTTGCTCTGTAAACTATGATGTATTGGATGATTTATACTTTGGTCTCCTGGGCCAGATACAGGCATCATTTTTGGAACTGTAATAGTTATTAAGGTGTTTTTTTTAAATAAACATTTTTAACCTTTGTGTTTAACAAGATGTAATTTCTAGAAGTGTTGAAATACCATAAGAGTAGAATATAATCTTGAATCAACAGAGCTTCTATCCTTGGTTAATTTCTACTTGTTACTCAAGCAACATTACATAGTTTGTTCTCTCTGTTAGCAAAACATAATTTTCCAGAATCTTGCCAATAAAAGTGATCTCTCTGACAGCAGAAGATGCTGTGAATCATCTTTTTCCACACTAAACAGCCTGATGTTGGACATCTCCAAGCTTAGGTGAAGGGACTAAAGGGACTATAACTGTTGCACTATTGCCAGCAATGTTATGCAATACTCCTACAGAAAGCCAGACCGATGCCATCATAAGCCTTAGTGATGCAGTGAGAGTTAGACTTCAGAGTTTGAATCCAGTGCTCCACAACCTGCCCACATTCCCAAATAACTCTACAGAAGGTAGGACAGAATGGAGACAATCGAAGACAGATCCAACATCAGAATCTGAAGTTTCATAGGCAACCCACCAGGGCTAATACCAGTTATTGTGGCATCTTGTTTTCTTTTATAGTCAGGGGGCAGCAGGCCAAACATGTACAGTGGTGCCTCGCATAGCGAGGTTAATCTGTTCTGGATTAACCTTCGCTATAGCGAAACATCGCTGAACGGGGCAGGGAAAGCCATTGGAACGCATTAAACATCGTTTAATGCGTTCCAAAAGTCTCCTTTACTCACCGTTCAGCGAGGTTTCCTATGGCCGGCAGCCATTTTCGCGCCCTCGTTAAGTGAGGGGAGGGCGCGAAAACGCTGCGCGCGGCCATTACGGAGCTACCGGCAGCCATTTTGTCCGCCGAACAGCTGATTGTCGGGGCTTCGTTTTGCGAAGATCGGTAAGCGAAACGCTTACCGATCTTCGTAAAGCGATTTTCGGCCATAGGGCCCATCGGTAAGCGATCGCATTAGCGACCCAAAAAAACGGATCGCTATGCGATTTCGTCATTATACGGTGCGCTCGTTAAGCGAGGCACCACTGTACATGGATATAGATGCATACTTTA